GCAGGACTGGCCTAGGGGTATTTTAAAGGGGTTTTAAATTAAATTTTTAGTAGAAGCGGCCAAATTTAAATAGTTATTTTTAATCTTTTTAAATTTTGTATTGTATTGTACCATTGTTTTAAACTGGCTGTAAGCCGCCCTGAGTCCTCCGGGAGAAGGGCGGGGTATAAATTTAATAAAATCAAAATCAAATCAAAATGTTTAAACTTAACTTTGTTGGCTAAATGAGAAGTAATGGCTATCCATTTACTATTCAAAGCTTGATAAGTAGATGTGAAGGATATACCATATCCTAGATTATCATTGTGCTATTCTCTGAATCAACTTGATTGGGATTTATCTTAATGTTCATTTATACATTTATCTTGAAAGATTACAAGGTGTCCGACTGGATGGGTGCCTCTTGAGAAATAATTCTACTGTATGTGTTTTGTTGAGAGCTGACACTAGCATTCCACAAAATCATGTGCACTGTCTAGCTCACTTCTGCTTATGCACATCTGGCCGATACTTTTTGCTAATATTTATCAAAAGGCAAAGGCAGGACAAAGACTGTGGGCTCAGGCTTTTTATTAGTAATTTCTCAGAACTGGTATAAAATATATGTTGCTACAGTTTGCTATGCTCCATACTATGTACATTGGGAATTGTTAGGTTGGGAGCTGTTAGCCAATATATGAATGGCTATTCTTGCACTAGCACAACTGATTTTTTTAGTTCTGCACTGTGAATGAATATGGAAAATGGGCAACAATACTTTGAAAGACAGATTATCTATATCTTGGTTTTTCTTCTTTCCAGCCACTGCAATAATGTTGTATCCAGCATTGACATTTATCTCTGTTGGTGGGATCCTTCTCATTCTCACAAATATGCAGGTTTGAATTTCTTCCCTTATGCATCCTACTGGGGAGGGATTCTGGGAAAGAACTTTGGAGGGGGGGGCATGGATAAGTCTAACCACAACAACTTTTACTTGGGTGGGGGGAGATCCCAGAGATAACTTTATTTCCTCTTTTTGGGATATTCAAAATAAATTGGGAAAAGAGAACCATTATGTCATTTTCCTACATGTTCAGAATGTATCAGGCTAGTCTGGAGATGAAATTCCATGAAAGGTGGCCACAGGCATAGAGGAAATCTATTTTACAAATTGCTTATTCTTCCATAGCATCTAATTTTTTATATTCTAGCCTAAGTAGAACTGAAGGGGATTGGCCCTTTTAATTTATTTCTCCAGATTGGGAATCTGTTTGGAAAACATCGGTCCATCATCATTACCCTCTACAATGGAGCCTTTGATTCTTCCTCAGCTGTATTTCTTATCATCAAGGTTGGTGAGAAAGGCTTTTCCATTTTTGTTTTGCCTCCCATATCAATTTATCTTTAATTTTAAAAATGTTCCTACTTCTATCTTTGGGCTTTACTGCCTTGTTGCTGCTTTTGGTAGGTGCGGGATTACCATTGTCGGCACAAAATTTCCTCATTGTCCTTATCTGTAGCACTAAACCATGACCTTAAACCCATCTAAATTATCAGCACTAAATGAATTAATGACTAGCTGATAATTGGATTAGACATTCAAAGAAACAGCCTACTTCAAAGCAAGCCAGGCTGCAACCTTAGGATTGAGGCTAAGACATAAAGAGAGCAAGATCATGGTGTGTGGAGGACGATAAGAGAGGAGATAAGCAAGATTGGGAGAGGGGGAATAATAAACTAGCATAAATAGTTAATTGAATTGTCCTGAATTGATTTAACCTTCAGAGATATTTGATCTGGATTTATATGCTTAAAAGTAAGACTATAGATAATACTTTTCCTTCTTGCCTCCAGCAGATTCATTTTCTCATTAAAGGACAAGTTCAGGCTGATTTGGAAATACTGTACATTTCTGCACAGATTAGCCACGCATACCCAAGAGCGTTAGTTGTATGCAGACAGCTCCTTTGCTAGTGGGCATTAGAGAAAGGTCACCGTTTGCATTTGGCCATGAATCTGGGACATTTTCACCATTAATGCTGTTAACAGCCAATTGATATACCAAAGTCACCTCTCTGCATTCAGGTAGTCCACGTGAGGCAGAGCAGAGTTTACAGCCAAAATGAGACAGTTGCCTATTTCATCCTTCTTGGTAATGGTATTGGTTCTTCTCCAGTGAAAATCAGTCTTGCGGATCTCTGACTTTGAGCAAAAGATTATGAGGGAAAGAGGCTCTGCGTCCCTTTCCCTTTTGCCATTTGTTTGGGAATAGGGAGATATCTAGGTTTAGATGGATCAGCCACAGAAGCTCTGTAGGCTTTGGGCCATGACTGACTCTCAGATCAACCTTTTCGATGGGGTTGTTGCAGGGGGAAATAGGAAGAGGGAATGCTATGTATACCATCTTGCGCTCCTGAAGGAAAGGTGGGTTATAAATAAAATAAATACACACATATATATACACATACATGTTTATTTTCCTTTTGGGTTGAGTGGGCAGACAGCAGGAAGAAAAGCGTAAGGTGGCTTTCCTTCCGTTTAATTTATTATGGGAGAGTGCTTTGCATTTCAGACACGGAGGATGGAAAAGAGGGAGGCAGTTGCCTGTCATACAAAATCTGGTCCTTGTTCTCCGTGTAGATCTCAGGAGGGACCGGGAGAGGTTTGCTGTTGAAAGCAGAGTGAGACTGATTTCAGCAGGAAGTTGCACTTGAAGGGGGAGAGAGAGGATTCTTTGTCCTGTTGGTTCTTGTAATTTATGACTCAGCTTTCTAAAGCACTTTTGTGACTGAGTTTTGCTTGTAGAGGAGAATAGGAACTGGAGTTTCTGGGCAATTCCCAGCAGAATGAATAGCTAAGGCTGAGAGACCCAATGTAACTGTGCTGTGTGACATGTTGCATTGACTATATCCCCCATCATCCCCACCCTGCTGGCACTATTAATTGGCTGGGTTCACCCAGCATCTAGAAGAGGCTAAAATAAAGTTTAGGATTCAGTTTATTGTAATCACCAGACACTACCTTAGCCTGCTGTGGAAAGCAGACCATTTGTGTATTTGTTTGGATATAATATGTTGTGTGAACTTTAGTTTTATAAACCCAGAACTAGGATTTAGTGTAGGTATGCACTGCACTTTAGATCAGCGGTTCTCAACCTATGGGCCGCGACCCCATTTGGGGTCGATCGACCATTTCACGGGGGTCGCCAAGCAAGGCTGTCCGCCATTTTTTCCCCCTTTTCCGGCGGGTGCCTTACCTCCCTTGAGCTGGGCCAGCTGGTGGTCGGCCTGCTCCGTCTCTGCCGCTTGCCAGCTACGCCTCGGCCGGCGCAGGGGGCAGAACCACGCATGCGCGGCGCTCCCTGGCAGAGAAAGTCCTCGACTTACGACCAGTTTAGTCCTCGACTTACGACCGGTTTAGTCCTCGACTTACGACCGGTTGGGGTCGTGGCATTAAAAAGGTTGAGAACCACTGCTTTAGATCTTAAACCAGAATTGGATGCCAGTGGGGAAGTGGGGATACACCGCACCTAACTCCTTAAAGAAATTGCTTTTTTTTTCTTGGGCCCAGAGCCATTTTTTCCCTTTTTGAATTAGGAAGCATGTAAAAAAAAACTTTCTCAAACTACCCAGGAAAACACATGAAATCTCATCATCGCTCACATCAATGACCTAGCGTTGTCCTATTTGCATCCTTGTCCCTCTCACTCTGGCAATGGGCCCTTTAAACATGTTCAGTGGTGGTACCAAAAAATTGCCCAACCATTTCAGAAGCTGCCCTCATCTTCTGAGAAGGACCTGTTAATGATCAGGATAGAGCAAATGGGAAGGGGGAACTGAAGCCTTTCCATCTTCCTTGCTACATTTCTGCAGGCACTCGGGGATTGGCGCACACGGTAGGAGCGTTAAAATACAGCCAGCTTATCTTGGAATACGTTGTTTGTCCTCAGCTCCTGTATGAGCAAGGCCTCTCCCTGGGAGCCATGTTCTTCTTCATGTCTGCCTGCAGTGCCTGGCACTTAGTTCGCACCTTTTTCCTGATGCCCCGATACCATATTCCTTATCCACTGCCCCCAGGCTATACATATGGGTAAGCAGCACTTCTGTCCGATTGGCAGCTGACTCCTCTGTGTGACTTTCCCAAAATCCTAGTCCCCTCTTATTTTCCTATCATTTTTCTCCAGTTGCTTCTTCCTTTTTCTAGCTATTACCGTGATGCTTGAAATCTTAGTGACCAGAGAACATATTTTAGGGATCTTTAGATTCTCTCAGTTAATCCTATAAAGACAATCCATCTTTCTGGGTGCTATTTTAGGCATGCACTGTGAAAGCCTGTCCTTGGATTTGTCTAGGGATGTGTTTTGCATCTGATTGTCACTGTACCTTTAACAGCAGTTTGGTGTGCAAAAGTAATTTGAGGCTAGAAAAGCTGCACCAGTAGGTCTATTCTTAACATCCAGCTGCTATTTAAGTTAAAAGACACATCCATGCATTGTTTGGTT